GATCTCACCAACTTACACTTGGAAGATGAAGGCAAAAGATGTATGATAATCCAACTTAATAAATTTAATTTTGAATGAAATTCAAATCCATGATTTATTTACAACTCAAATTCAAAGTTTCAAGTAAATAGAAAAAAAAATCAACCATGGACGCGTTGCATGTATAATACAAATAATTAGTATAGACTTAGAACTTAAGCATCTTTTATTTTTTTTACCATGCAGGGTGTGAGTAATTTCGCTAGGAGAAAGTAAGCGAAAAATACACTTAGCACAAGTCAAATTACAGCAATTTGATGAACCAGTATTCTAGTCTTAAAGCTAGCAGAAGTACCTGAGTTTTCTGCAGCAAGCTTTCTTTTTTTATCCTGCGCAGTATTTTTGGCAGCAAGTTTTGAGTTCTGGAACGTAGCTGAGAGCAAAAGGAGGATCACCCATACTTTTATATAAGAAAGCAGTATTCGCCCACCATGCATCCTTAGTCTTGTTCAGGCGATTTTAGTTTGCGTTGTGAGGGAGTTTAAAAAAAAAAGAAATTGTTATGAGCTAACAACGCAATTTGAAGAGCAAAGCAAATTTGGTATCTGAGAATATGTAGCGCAAATTTAAATATCATGAATAGGCGTACTGCATGGTTTGTGAGTGATGAGAATGCTATCAAGTCTTTGTATGGACAGCTGTGCAGCAAGCACCGCCGCCTCCAAGACTTAAAAGTCATCAGTATAATTTATTTATTTTTTGTGATAGGTGAAATAGCGTAATGCATTTATAAATTGTAAATCCGACTCGTTTAGTTTTTTTTTAATCCCAGCAATTGATATATCAAGTTGAGTTAAAAAAATTATAGATATTACAAATATCTACAAGTGGAGTTTATATTATTAATTCTCAATAATAAAACCCTCAATATTAGATATAATTTTCATATATCATCATTAAATTTTATTTTTTTCTCTTTAGCAAAGAGATAAGCTATTATTTGTTACATTAAAAAAATATAATTAAAAGTATACTAACAAGATTTTGAAGCTGAAACATTTCTAATTATATTTTTAGATGTTTCTAAATAAAATAAAAATATATATTCAATCTACAAATTATTATTATTATAATATTATTATTATTATTATATAAATAAAAATGTATAGGATATACACTACTAGAAATTTGCTTAATAGCAATGGATTTACTGACGAAATATTTATGTCGGTAATTTGAGGTCGAACTTACCGACGAAACTTTTTCTATCTATACTTCAGTTGGTAACTACTGATGGAAAATGTCCATCGATAGTTACTGATTGAATTACGGGCGGAAAGTTCAGAATTAAAAAAAAAAACGATTTGCTAACATGGAGGTTTTTGAGGGTGATTTTTACCGATAGATTCAAAACAACAGCTCCGTATTATGATGTGACCAGTTCACCATATAAAATATTGATGGAATTATCGAGGGATTTGAAATGTCTAATCCATACGGTGACGTGTTGATTTTTTCATTAGAATATTCGACGGACTCACCAACAGATTATTTCATCTGTGAAACCATTGGAAAAGGTTAATATATGCTCTCTCTAGCGACCCTCTCCTCCTCTATTTCTCCTTTTTCTTCCTAATCTCAACTCTCTCCATCTGCAAACAACCAACCCCCCTCCCCCCAAAAAAAAATCTCCCTCATCTCAGCACAACAAGTTATATTTCTTGAAATTTTGTGGTCACAGCATTCGTATTCTAATTTACTGAAAAAATTTATTCATTTTTATAAGCAATTCTATCTTTTTAAATTTTAACATTTAAATATCAATTTTATTGTTTTCTAGTATATGTATATTATTAATAGATGTACATGTTTTATTGTTATTTCTCAAACAAACTTGTAGTATATGAATGTATAATTTTATACCTGTTATGGCTTGTTTTAGATTTTGTAAGATTGTATTTGTTTGTAAATTGTTAAAACTTTATGGAATTACCGAATTACATGTGTTGTTTTGAAATAATTAATAGCTTGCTTAATGGGTCCATTTTAAGTTTTATCAATGGTATTGCGAAGTGGTAATTTCTATACATTTATATATATTAATTTGTATGGACGTTGATAAATGATATTAAATATTTAATATTTATGAGAAGTTGTGATTGATTTGTTGGATAATCTTGAGGTAAATTAATATTTTTGCAAGTTTATTTACCTAACTTAGTCAATTAACATATGATGTCATCATAATTTTATAGAGGTTCGATAAAATTCATGGATGATCGTTTATGGATGTATCGAGATTCACCCCAAGGATTGTGAAGGATGGATTATTGTAATGGGGTTTAGGATTTTATTAATTTCGCAACATTTATTTCTAAAAATTTTACTAGAGGCAGTATTGGGTGTCCATACAGGAAGTGTCAAAATAAAATATATTTGCATCTAAATGTTATAATGATGCATCTTCTACACAAAGGGTTTATGGATAATTACTAGTGTTGGTATGCATATGGATAAGTATTTGTTAGCAAGAGGAGAATGAGAGAAATGGTGGTTGGGTCAACTTCTAATGCTAGCAATGTGCATGAAACGGCAAATGACAACACTAATCGTTATAGAAATATGGTTATAGATGCAATGAGAATAAATCAAGGTAATGTCAGTCAATGTTCAATCGTAGAAGAAGAACCTAATGCGAATACAACTAGGTTTTTTGATTTGTTGAAAGATTCAAACGAACCATTATGGGATAGTTGTACAAATCATAGTAAATTATCGGCTGCAGCAAAGGTGTTCACCATCAAGTTAGATCACCGATTAAGGAGGTCGGGTATGAAAAAATTATTGAATGAGCGAGAAGCATTTTACTTGAAGGGAACAGGCTAAAAGAGAACTTCTATATTGCGAAGTCCATGATGAAACCCCTCGGTTTAGGATTCCAAAAAATTGACATATTCCCTAACTTTTGCATGTTATACTACCTTGAAAATGCTGAGATGACCGAGTGCATGACATGCAGGCATTCCTATTACAAACCCAGAACTGGTAGGGGAAAGACTCTAGTGGCATATAAAAAACTTAGATACTTCCCAATCACACCTCGACTGCAGAGGCTATTCATGTCACTAAGAACTGCTGAGCACATAACATGGCACCAAGCATATGATGCGGTTGATGGAGTGATGGTGCATCCTTTTGACAGTGAAGCGTGAAAACTCTTTAACAGTGTGCATCCTCACTTTTCAGCTGAATCAAAGAATATGCGTCTTGGATTGTGTATAGACTAATTCAACCTATTTGGGTCATTTGCTGCTCCTTATTCTTGTTGGCCAATCATACTTACCATTTATAACTTGCCACCGAGAATGTGTATGAGGCCAAAGTTCATGTTTTTATCTACTGTCATACCTGGTCCAAGCAGCCCGGGGCAGAATATAAATGTTTGTCTTTAATTGTTAAATGATGAGTTGGCGCAGTTGTGGTCCTCTAGAGCTTTAACTTATAATATATTCAGGAAACAAAATTTCCTTATGAGGGTGGCTTTAATATAGACTATCAGTGATTTTCTAGCTTAAGGAATGCCTTCTGGTTTGAGCACGCATAGGAAATTAGCATGTCCATACTACATGGAAAACAACAAGGCATTCACGCTAGCAAATAAAAGTAAAGTTTTTTTTTTACTGTCACCATCTTGCCACTTAATCACGGATACAAAAAAAAAACAAAAAAGATTTTTTTATGGCAAAGTTGAAAAATATGCATCCCCGCATCTTTCTAGTGAAAAATTGCATGATGTTGTATTTTTAATACAAATATTAATAACTCAGTCAAAATATAGTTATTTTCAAGAATAAAATATTTATTATGCTTAATATTTTAAATTTGATTTGTATATATTTTAATTTTGCTCTATATTCATGCAGTTTTTTCTTCATAAAATTGCTTGAAACCTTTGTCTTTTTTAATCTAATTGTAAATATTATGTCAGTAATATTTATATATAATATCACTACAAATATTTAAAAAAAAATTATTTTTATTAGTCAATTTAAGATTTTGAGAAGATCATATCTAGTAAACTCCCTTTAGTTTTTATGTGAAACTCTCGATTTATCCAAATTTTTGAGTTTAATAATAATAGAAAAATAATTGAAAATAATTTAAATAATCGAAAATAATTTAAGGGATCTTAATTTTAAAAATTGAAAAAGAAAGTGATAAATAAAATTTTTGTTGCTGCTGTGCTGAATGTGGATCAGGACGAAGTAGCTATATAAATATAATTTTGGTTTGAATTTAAAGAGATACCGTGAGAAAGAAAGTTCTTATGATTGTACTATAAACGACAGGGTAGCTGAGCATGTTTTTTACAAATAAAGCAACCAAATTCAAATCCATGTGGATATGCAAATAGAGATATGGATTGGGTTTCGAGATTGGGTTTACTGTCTCGTACAGTTAAGCCAGTTCTATCTATCACCGCAGAATTTTCTCATGTGATACTTTTTTGTTATTATTGATGGTAATTTAATTTTTTAATAAAAATAAAATAATATTAAAATAGAAAAGTTGATGATATGTACAACTCATACTCCAATATGTGCGCTCACAATCATCAGTCACCAAGACACAATGGAGTGTCCAAAGAAAGCTGCCTTGCACACAGGATGAGAGAGAGCAGAAAGGCCGAGAAAAAGAAATTCAAATATTGAAAGGACGACAGCACTTGGCGTACCATGTCATTCATCAGTCACTGGATCTATTTGAAGAATTGAGTTAACAACTCAAGAGGTCTTGAGATTTAAAGAAAATATGAAAACCTCTACTTAATGGAACAAAAGAAGGCTGGAGCTGGTTCCATGCCATGTTCTAATGAACTATACCCTTCAAACCATGCATTGACAAATTTGCATGGCTGGTCTTCCACCAGCACTTTCAGAAAGCAAGTCCTAGCCAAAATAAATAATCATAGTAGAAATGTAGCGTAGAAAAGATTGGATACGATTAAGTAACCAAGACTGCACGACTAGGAGATAACTGTTATTCGGAATTCACAAAAAGAAAACAACTTGAGAACAAAAAAAAGTTTAATCCTTTCAAAGGATTTATGTTACCCTCCTCTATAAGAATTTCTTCATATTGGAAATTAGTGTGGTTTTGGGCACAGAACCAATAATTGCATCTTTCTTCTCCCCATTTTTGAAGATCATGATTGTAGGGATGCTTCGAATTCCAGACTTGGTTGTGGTAGAAGGACTTTCATCAGTATTCAATTTGAATCCACATGTGAAAGCTCTAACACGCTGAGAGCCCAGCACCTGATCTCATATACTGCATTAGCCTTCTACCAACCAAAACAAACGGCAGAACAGCCATTCAACTATTGAAATCCACAATTAAAAGTTCTCATGCACTACATTATAGGTTCTGTTTGTTCAATGAAAAGTGATTTATTAAAAATTATTTTTTTAAACTCTCTTGTATTTATTTAACATTAAAAAACTTAATTAACAAAAAAATTTTATAATAAAAAAAATATAAATAAAAATTCATTAATCAAATCATTAGATTTTTTTTTGATTAGGCCAACCACTTTGCGTAACTACTTACATATAGCCTTGAAAACCTCTATGGCTTATAAACCTCTATCTTATAGGACTTAACTTTGAAAACCTCTATGGCTTGTATGGGTTCACGAGGGTGACCCAAAACTTGTTGGAAAATGAATATTTTAATATAAAATCATTAAATAAAACCTCATATCTCGATGGTGTGAAAATATAGAAAATCAATCACAAAAATTTCAACCAATTGGCAAACATATGTAGACTGTCATAATCGGCCACTACGTTTGGGGCTTTCCTGTTATAACCATATATATACTCAAAATTACTTAAAAAGGGGAAAATTCAAACTCATTTTTTTATATTTATACAAAATAAACTACCATTTTATTCATCAAAATAAATTTATATGTTGGAAAAAAAATATCCTTTTTTATTTCGCTAAGCTTGCACAACAAACACACATTCACATACAAACTACCATTTTTCCAATTCATCGGAGAGTATTGATTTCTACCTTCGCTAACAGGGGGTTTAGAACTATCATGTTCATTTTTCTTTACAACTTCTTCTCTCTCTCTCTTTATATGTACTAATCTATGTGAGCTGTCATGATCAGTGGCAGAATCAAGGGGAGGCCAGCAGGGACTCGGATACTTGTAAAACTTTTTTTTTTATATAAATATAATAAATAATAAGTTTTTTAATATTAAATTATTATTTTATTAATTATATTTAACTTTAATATGCTATATATCTGTATATTTTTATGCAATGAAAAACAAAAACTTTTCAATTAATTTTTTTCTTGTATTCTCTCTCTCTTTTCCTTTTATACAAACCTATCTCTTTTTTTTTTTTTTTTTTTTAAATCTAATGCCTGTATTCTCTCTCTCTCCTTTTCTTTTATGTAAACCTATCTTTTTCTTTTTTATAAATCTAATGCTTTTCAATTAATTCTTTTCCTTTACTCTTTCTTTCTCTTCCTTTTCTATAAACCTATCTCTTTCCTTTTTGTAAACCTAGCCACAAAAATTAACAATACAAAGCATAAAAGTTAAAATAAAGTTGTTGCCAATTGATTCATTGAAACAACAACGTAATTAGTAATTTAATTTATTTTATGCTTGTTAAGAATTTAATAAATACATATATATAATTCTACTATTTTTTTTAGATCTACTAGTTTTATCATTTTTTATTTCTTGTTATAATGAATGTTGTTTTTTCTCATCAATTGGATATTTTTTATGGATTTGTTTGTTTTGATTATGCTTGGATTTTCTATGTTTTGTTTTTAGCAGAGCCATTAAAATTATTAATTTTTTTCTCACGTATACCTTACTATCACCAGGTTCAATATACAATTAGACACGATTTTTCTAGCCAAATTGAGTTCTTTGAAGAGCGTATACCCAACTTTGATTCAGTGTAAGTTTTCTTTTTTAGAAACCGGTAATCCCATTTTTTATGTTAGATATGCTTTTATATATCAATTTTTTTTAATATGTTAATTTTGCTTTCATATGTTAGTGTGGTTTACGTGTAAAAATTTATTTTTGGTTCTAATTATTGCTTCAACACATTGTTATTTGTATTTATTTTTTAAATAGAAAACAATAAAAATTTATGATGTTTTGATTTTAGGTTGAGCCATGAACAAAATAAGAAGAATTGATTCCTTTTTTGAGAAAAAGAGGAAAAATATTGATAACTCACAGCCTAGTGAATCAACTCAAATATGTAATGCTGAAATTATGGTTGAACAACCCTAATGTGCTTCAGTTTATGAAGAACCTGCATTGATTAATGAGCAGCTTCCTACTACAATCGACATTGCTCATCTGATTAGAGATCCAAGCAATCATCCTCAAATTTGGAAATACCTGGTTAATCAACAAGATGAAATTAGAAGGGCATACATTAATTTGGGTCCATATCAACCTTTGATGTCTAAATATCCATTGACTGGTAAAAAACATCCTCGTCAATTTCAATCTCATTGGTTCAAAATTTATCCATGGCTTGAATATTCAAAGAAAAATACTGCATTTTGTTTTCCTTGTTATTTATTTTCAAATAAGTCATCTGGAAAGTCAGGATCAGACACTTTTACTATTAAAGGATTCAATTGTTGGAAAAACTTAATGATGGGGAACAATGTGCTTTTTTAACTCATATGGGAAAAAGGTCCAAATTCAGCTCATAGATTTGCTACCAGGTGCTTGGAAAATTTGAAAAATCAGTCATGTCATATTGAGAAGGTAGTTAAGAGGCAAACTACTCAAGAAATTCTAAATAATCGACTACGTGTTAAAGCTTCAATAGATATTGTTCGTTGGCTTACATTTCAAGCATGTGCTTTTAGAGGACATGATGAACGTTTAGAATCAAAAAATTGAGGTAATTTTCTTGAAATGTTGGAACTTTTAGCATCATATAATGAACAAATAGGTGCTCTTGTTTTGGATAATGCTCCACAAAATGCTAAATACACCTCGCATCAAATTCAAAAGGAAATTTTACATGTCTTTGTTAGAAATGTTCAGTCTTCAATTCGTCATGAGATTGATGATGCAAAATTCTGCTTAATTGTTGATGAAGCTCGAGATGAATCTAGAAGAGAGCAAATGGCCCTTGTTATTAGGTTTGTTGATAGAAGTGGATTTATACAAAAACGATTTTTGGATATAATTCATGTCAAATACACAACTGCTTCAACTCTTAAGAAAGAGATTTCCTTTGTTTTATCTCATCACAATCTTGATGTTCAAAATATTAGAGGCCAAGGGTATGATGGTGCTAGTAATATGCGTGGAGAGTGGAATGGATTGCAAGCTTTATTCATTAATAATTGCCCTTATGCATATTATGTACATTGCTTAGCTCATCAATTACAATTGGCTCTTATTGTTGCAGCTAGAGAAATTTCTGATGTTCACACTTTTTTTCAGAACTTGATTTTTATTATTAACATTGTTAGTGCTTCTTGCAAGCGTAATGATGAATTACGGGCTTTTCAAGCAGCTACAATTAAACATTTAATTGATATTGGTGAGATTGAAATGGGTAAAGGAGTTAATCAAGTAGGTGGTTTGCAACGACCTGGAGATAACAGATGGAGTTCGCACTTCAAATCCATTTGTAGTTTGATAAAAATATATGGGGCAACTTGCTTGGTTCTTGAAAACATCTCTTTAGATGGATCTACATATTCTCAACGTGGTGATGCGACCTTTTCATTTAAGTTGCTAATGTCATTTGATTTTGCATTCATCTTGCATATAATGAAGAATGTTATGGGAATTAATGATGTGCTTTGCCAAGCTTTGCAACAGAAATCTCAAGACATTTTAAATGCTATGTATTTTGGTGACTACCACAAAGACTTTAATTAAGAAGTTAAGAGATGATGGCTGGGAAACTCTTTTAGAAGAAGTGACATCATTTTGTGAGCATCAAGACATTGAAGTTCCTGATATGGATGTTTGTTTTTCTAATGTGGGACAATCTCGTTGTAAAACAAAATCAATAACAGTTGAGCATCACTATCGAGTTGATATATTTACAGCTATCATTGATCAACAGTTGCAAGAGCTAAATAATAGATTCAATGAGCAGACGATTGAGCTTCTTAACTTGAGAGCAACTTTAGATCCTAAAAATAACTATAAATTATTCAGTGTTGAAGATATATGCTTACTTGTTGGCAAGTTCTATCCTGAAGACTTTTCTGACCAAGAAAAAACTCATTTGAGATTTCAGTTGCAGCATTATGAGCTTGATGTGCCCAATCATCCAAAGTTAAAGAATATGTCATCGATTGCTGATTTATGTCAAGGATTGGTTGAAACTGAAAAATCAACAATTTATCCACTCATTGACAGGTTGATTCGGCTTATTTTGACTCTACATGTTTCGACAACAACAACTGAACGAGCTTTTTCAGCGATGAAGATTGTTAAAACAAGACTTCGCAATTGGATGGAGGATGATTTTCTTGAAAATTATTTAATTATCTATATAGAAAAAGAAATTGCTGAAAGATTCACAATTGATATGATAATCGATGATTTCTACTTTATGAAAGAACGACGAGCACAATTAAATTAAATATGTAAGATTTATTTTTTACTTTATTTCTAAGTTTTATCAAACATAAATAATGTATAGCTTTAACTAATGTTTCTTATATATTTTTTATATTTATATTTGATAGGTACAAAGACCCGTAAAATTAAAGTGATGAATACATTATGAAGATGAAATTAACTTCATAGCTTTGACTCAATGTAATATTGCTTTAAACTTCTTATTTTATACAAAGATCGTCATATGTTTGTAGTTACTTCTTTGAATAAAACTAAATTAAACAATTTTCTTTGTTGTTACAATTTATGTATAATAAATTAAAAATAAATATTTTTTTATATTATTTTGGCCCCCTATTAAATAATCCTACCTCCACCCCTGGTTATGATGAAGGAGGAGGTTGTTTAACGAGTCGAGTTGTGTTTGTTGTGGGGTTTATTTAAGTATGGATCAGGTTTGTGAGTGGAGAAGGTTATGATTATGGTACTGTGATGGTGGTTTATGTTAGGTTGGTTGCCATTTCATGTAAGGCACCAACCATTGACCATTGACTATTAGTAGCCACCATTGTTGAATGAGCTAGAGTTGGTGGCCACCAATATTGATAATAAAACAAGAAGAGCTTCCATGAATGCCTATAAATAGAAGCATATGTTAGAGAGCAAAATGTGGAGAGTTTTGTGAGAATGTGAAGAGAGTAGAGAGAAAGAGAGAGCTGCAATGGCAGCAGCCTTGATGCCATTGTAGCAGCTGCAAGTGTAGCAAAGAGAGGGCTAGGAGTAGAGTAGAGTGAAGTTATCATTCTCCTCCATGTATTTGTTTTGTATTCTTTCTCTAATCTCTAATAATATAGACTCTCTCCTGTGGATGTAGGCGGTTTTGCCAATCCACGTAAATATTATGTCAGTGTGTTTGGCCTCCTATGAGCAAATATCAGTACATCACCGGTCGGAATTCCCAACAATTGGTATCAGAGCACATGGTTTAAAGTGGTGTCTGATTTTACTCAAAAATGAAAGTTGTCAAAATTGTGTTTTGACCATATCACTGTGTTGAGGAGGAAGAGATGAAGCCACTGGTGAAAACCGCGTCAAAATCGGACGTCGAAAACCGTCGCACGCGCCGGCGGGGCGATTGTCCACGTCATCAGTTCTACACAGTCAGCAGACATGTCACCTGACACATCAGCACTCTAACCAGTCAAACTGCCATGGCATTAGACACGTCATCGGCCACGACAGCTCTGACATGTCACCCAAAATCCACATGGGACTGCCACATCAGATTTGGTGGACCCCATATGTCCTACGTGGTGACACGTCATCACAGCCACATCAGCTCCTTGGGTTTTGATCTAGTGTGGCGCAATGGCTATTCCTCCTACCACGTGGCATCATCTGTAGCGTTTAGTGATCCCAAAGTTTGATTGTTTAAATCTGAGCCATCCGAAGTCTGATTTGGGTGATCTTAGTGTCGTTTCCAATATTTTTGGCCATTCCGGACACATCTATAAGGTCAGATTTTGTACATTCAAAGTTGAGAAAGAGTAAAAATGGCTGATGAAATAAACGCTACGGGAATTGAAAAATTTGATGGAACTGATTTTGAATATTGGAAAATGCAAATTGAAGACCAATCTTGACGAATCTAAGCATTGGTAGTCTCGCTAGATGTTGAGAAATCAGGTACAAAATAAAGATACCCCAGATCACTTGTAAATGAAAGTCGCGACAAAGCTAGCAAAGGGTTGTATATACGAAAAGACAGTATGATGGATAGATATGGCCTAAGAAGTTTTGGCTAGGAGATTGGGTTTTAAGCGGGACCGTTGTGACCCCTCCAATCTTTCTTGGGAACATGCTTAGTGGAAGGATTATCCATACGGTACTATTTTCGTATATGTGACAGTTTGTTATGAAACTGTTGAAGACTAGCAGGATGACGACACAAAGGAACAGTTGGGTTCCGTATGATCAAGGATCTGATGAAGTGGTGATTTATCCAAGGAAGTTAGATTTGGTGACTGTAATTTCTAAAGGGGATAATTGATGAAGACCCTGATAATGGAAGAGAAATACAGCAAAAGGATAAAGATTGACACCTTATTTTGACTTGGATGAGCTATTGTCAAACATAAGCAAGGAATATAGAGAAATTTGGAGAACAGAAAATGCACGAGGACACACGAAGATTGTGCAGGAGTACCCGGAGGATCCAACGAGGTACTATAATAAGACAATAAAGTGCAAGGAGAAGAAGAGTTCCCAGATGAAGCTCAGAGCAGAGACTGTGTGAAAAAGTTGTACAACATGAAGTCTCTTGTGCTCTTGATAAAGGCAACAAGTGAGGACCTTTTCAATGCATGCAAGGATGGAAAGATGAGCTATTACTGATGCACCTAATTGAGGGGGTGCAAAAGCCTGTGATAAAAGGCGACCGCCTATAATGAAAGGCGAAGACACCAATAAGAGTTGGTATAAGTGGAGCTGTCAAGTGTAATGATGAAAGATGTAGAAGCTCCACAACTTTCTCTTTCTATGTAATCAGTGGCAAAGAATTTATAAAGCCACTTTGAAGCATCTCAGCTGAAGGAGGATGCGACCGCCTATAAAAGGCGAAGACACCTTAAAAAGAAGGTGTGAGGGCTATGAGATGAGCCTATGATTAGACCGCCGTATGATGACGACCGGAGACACCTTAGGAGAAGGTGTGAGTTCCGTGGAAAGAGCCCAGTTCAGAATGCCCCAGAGCCAATGTGATGGCTTGGTATGAGTGGACAGGTGGATAGCCAATGAAAGGGCTATGATGAGTATGGAGACAAATGTAGGATTGACTTTCATGGATATTGCCCCCATGCTAAAGATCAATGAGCTAGAAGACATTTACCTTGGACAATAAGTGGATGACTTGTGGAGCATTAAAACCCGGCTGCTATGAAGGAGCAGAGGGCATGCGCAGGTTCCTGGAACAAGTTGACTCTTGTCAAGGTGGTGAGCTCAATAATGGCATTGTAATACTCAGAGTATAAAGATAGATATGGATCAACCTTTTATGGGTTATCCACATGGTTAAAGGTGGAAAGCTACCTGGACTCTTAATACTAAGAGTGGGAGACTTATGGAGAAGTAAGGCGTGGTTCCTAGGGTGGAACAGAGGGCAGACGCAACTCCTGGATGAGTAGACTCTTGGATGAGTGGTGAGCTTGTGATCATATTGAGATACTCAGATAATAACTGTCGCACTTGAAATATCCGTTTGAGGGGGTGTTATAAGCCTTGATGTAAGGCTCAATGAATCATTCCGGACCGAGCATGGTTGATACGCTTGAAGGGGAATGTTGTTCCAGAGATAAGCGTTAACACTATTCAGATGTGATGTGGCAGACCATCTTGTTGTAGTGATCCTTTTGTGTGAGAAAAGGTGTGCTTTGGTTACTCTGATGATTGAAAGGTTTTGACGAGTACCTATAAACTTGGCCAAAGATGCTCTTAGAATGGAAAGCTTAGAAGAGTTGCAAGATGCAAGCTTGTGTTGAAGAAGCAAGAGGACAGTTGCCCCACATGAATGGCAAAGGGGGTGATTGTTAGGTTGGCTGCCATTTCATGTAAGGCACCAACCATTGACCATTGACTATTGGTAGCCACCATTGTTGAATGAGCTAGAGTTTGTGGCCACCAATATTGACAATAAAACAAGAAGAGCCTCCATGAATGCCTATAAATAGAGGCATACGTTAGAGAGCAAAATGTGAAGAGTTTTGTGAGAATGTAAGGAGAGTAGAGAGAAAGAGAGAGAGCTACAAGTATAGCAAAGAGAGGGCTAGGAGTAGACTAGAGTGAAGTTATCATTCTCCTCCATGTATTTGTTTTGTATTCTTTCTCTAATCTCTAATAATATAGACTCTCTCCCGTGGATGTAGGCGGTTTTGTCGAACCATGTAAATATTGTGTCAGTGTACTTGATCTTCTATGAGCAAATATCAGTAAATGTACTGGCCAGAATTTCCAACAGTTTATTTCAGAGTGGATCGGGTCTGATGATGATCACTAATGGTGGATTTAGAGGGAATAAAAGGCTGGTCATCATTGGGCTGGTATGGGTTGTGGTGGTGGATTTGTCAGCTAGGAGTAGTTTGGTGGTTAATTAGGCATTGTTTTCTTGGTCTTTCTGCTTGTGAGGCAGAATACGTGGCAACGATTTTTTATATTTGTGTGTAGTTAAAGAGAATTTTAGAGATAATGCACATGTGTCAAGACAAAAGCATAAAGATTTTTGTTGATAATAAGTATACAATTATTTTGGAAAAAAAAAACCCACTTTTTATCGAGAGAAATGAGCATGTAAACAGCGGATATCACTTCGTTAGAGACTGCATAGGAAAAAAAGAGGTGTGAATAAGTTATGTGAAGTTCATTAAATCAAGTTGCACGTATTCTTACAAACGTTTTGAAATGTGAAGATTTTTGCAAATTAAGAGCTTCGCTAGGACTCATCTAGAGATAGATTCAAGGAAGTATGTCGAGGGTAAATTTATACAATAATAATGTTTTATGCATATATAAATTCATTTCAAGCTGTAGCGCTTTTAACAACAAAAACAAACCGTTATTGTTTATTAACTACCTAAGATTTGGAGCCGTATCTGTGCCAAGCACCAAGCTCATTTCAACGGAACCGCGCATGCTCATTTCAGATGACATCTCCATGGCCAGACATTCCTTTAGCTCTCCCAAAATATCACTCATGTCCGGCCTTTGTGTTGAAGTCGGGGGTACGCAGGACAGTGCTATCTCCAAAACTTTCCAAGCACAATTAGTGTTGAATTCACCTTTCAGCCTTGGATCGATAATGCTCTGGATATCCCCTCTTTCAACTAGAGGACTCACCCATTGAAGTATGTGAGTGTGGCCGTTATGGCCCCTTATTAAAGGCGGTTGACCAGTTATTAGCTCACACAGAAGAATACCGAAGCTGTAAACATCACTTTTCTTATTTAAGTTTCCTGATGCTCGAAATCTGCTTACAGAATATAATGATAATTATTCTAGGAGAACAAACACTGTGAGAGAATATTAACATTAAGTTTGAATACATACTCAGGATCAATGTATCCGGGCGTGCCTGCAGGATCAGTTATGACATGCGAGTCTCCTTCGGTTGCGAAGGCTTTGGACAGCCCGAAATCAGCAATCTTGGCTTGAAGGTTTTCAGTTAATAAGATGTTGGATGATTTCAAATCTCTATGGACTATTGGCGGCCTACAACCATTATGCAGATATTCCAAACCTGCGAGTTCGATAATGCCAGTTAATCCAACAATGTTTGCAGAACAAAAATGTAGAAAAAATGACTCAGACACCAGAGCCAGACCTTGTGCTGCATCTACTGCAATTTGCAGCCTTTCCCTCCAATTCAACATATTCGTGCTATTTTCTACAGCCACAAAAACACACTAATATCATAAATTAAACAATAAAGTTTGCAATGTGATCATGAATACAACAGGAATTATGTTTCATTAGATATAGAAGTTCATCAATAGTATTAGATAATTATAAAAAAATCATCTTAATCTAAAAATTTAAATTTTTGAGTGAGATTCTAAGATATGATTTAAATTATTCTTTAACATACTTTACTTATACAGACCTATATTATCTTGTTCTTAATTTTTATAAAATAAAATAAGAGTTGTGAGATTTGAACTTGTGATCACTTCATTATTAAAATTCTAATACCATGTCAAACAATCATTTCAATCTAAAAGTTAAAATTATTAGGTAAAATTTCAAGATATGATTCATATTATTCTTTAATAATAATAAATTCATATAAATCTTAGTGAGAGTTCTATCTATAAATTAGTTAGTGTCCCAACAAAATTAAAGAATTCTATATTTCTGAGAGTAATTCTATAAATACCTAACAATTGATCCTTCAAGTTCCCATTTGCCATGTATTCATAAACAAGGGCCATATTTTCTTGCTCATTACAATAACCAACGAGGGACACCAAGTTTCTGTGATGAACAATAATCAATAGTTTGACCTGCATTTGAAAACACTACTCTGTCATAGCTGAAAGAAAATATTTGGTGCACCTCTCTTGTCCTCTACAGGAAAGGATTTGTTACCTCCGCTAGAAATTCTTTATAACCTTGCCTTGAGGATTGAGATAACAATTTGACAGCAACTTGACGACCATCTTGCAAGTTTCCAAGATATACTTTTCCAAATCCTCCTTCTCCAATAATGGTTTGGAAATTATTGGTAATGCTAACTATTTCAGTGTATGTAAATTGTTGATTCTTTGATTTCAGTGAGGATAAGCCCACCGAGGAAGATAATGACACATTCAATCTCCCTGCAAAGGAAAATTTCATTTTTTTTTATAAAGCGATAAATATTCCAATATTTTAACAGAGATACTAAAGTATGAAACTATATACGTCATCATATTTACATGTCAAAACTTGTTATTGCTTACTGATCTTATGCTGAATCGTATTCTCATCTGCTAAGTTGCAGGAAAGAAATGAGGTATTGGGGGTGGTATCCAGATTAGAATTATCATATGATAGGTAATATAAAAGTTATTGGGTGCACAGAATATATATGTATATATATTCAAAATGAATAAAAAAATTAAAGTGCTTACATATAAGATAGACTCATAGAATAATATTCTACGAGGCTTTTAAGTTGAAGTCAGTGTATGATCATATATGTAAGCTATCGAATGTATAGATCATCAATGATTTCACAAAAAAGCACACGGCTTCTTCTTAGCCAAAATTACTCTATGTTATTCTAGGATTTAGTTAACACCACTCAAAAGAGAGGAAAGAATACAAAGAAGATAAGTGAAAGAGAAAGAATTCACCTCTTTTCAACCTCCAGAAGATAGTTATAATGCCAAGGAGAAGGAGCACCGAAACTGATATGACAGATGCAATAACTGGAACAGGAAAACTTCCCTGCTTCTTTTCACATGTATCCATCAGGCATAAATCCGGATTTCCATCCAAACTTGCATTCAGTAAAATAGTGTCAGATGTAACTGAGAATCAATGATTATATACCAGTAACAAATAACCCAATCAGAGTGATCATGGTTAGCTTTAGAAAGTTAGCAAGATCAATATGAAATATACCGAAGAATTGTATCAGTTACTTAATTCTTTAAACTCGTACTAACATGCAAAGAAAATGGATATGTATAATCTATTTTCTGACTCCTCTTTGTTCCTTAACGTTTAATTTCAATTTATGAAAAATTAAAACAATGTTCACTTCATATGTAAGAAAAGAAGTTAGAGAAGAACCAAAGGAGTAGAATGATTGTTTAATTAACGTGCAGATAAGTTGTAATAGTTGAAGATGATAACCAAACCTCAGCTGTAACTGTCCATTGTTAGACTTTTCCTTGAGACTATAGGGAACTGCACCTGTGAGTTTATTCCTACTCAAATATCTGCAAATAGGAAAAAAAAAAGTCACCATTCACAATGGTAATCTTTGTAAAAACTTCTTATGGTAAATACCAGAGCATGTTAACTTACAGGATCGTAAGATTTGGCAGCTGCGCAAAAGCTGCTGGCACTGCCCCTGTCAATTCATTGTTTGATAAATCCCTGTAAGAAAATGTGAAAACAATAACGAACAATCACATTTTGTAAAGAAATAGATGAAAAGAATACGCAATAGTTGGGATAAAATAGAGGTTGTTCCTCCACTGATCTGAAGTACGGACACCCATATTTTCAACCTTTGTGGAGCCAGAATCCCTATCGTTGGCTTGTAGGATTTTGTCCAGAAAAGATGCATATAGGGAGAGAGGTTATGTCTCAAGCTTATAAGGTGCATGAGCCCTCTATACACCTCTAGCTAATTTCCATATGGATTATTCGTAACATCACCTTCAGACTTCAATAAGACAATGTCCCATTATAGCACTGAGGTGCCCTCTAATTTCAAGGGTCTGAAACCAATAAACAATAGTTCTCTTCAAATAGAATGATGAATGTCTGAAGTCGGTTAGAAATTCTAGCAATGACTGTCATTCCAGTGCTAGATATCTAGTAGCCATTGCCATGGTAGTTTATTTGTATTAAAACCTGTTACAACTTGGTTATTAACACTTACAAGGATTGGATTGCTCTGAGGTTCAAGAGTGAAACAGCTATATTCCCTGATAATTGACTTGAACTTAGATTCCTGCTCACAGTTAATTGTAAATGAGTGAGACATTGAGATAATGAATGCCATATCTAAGTGGATGTTCTTCAAAAATAACTTCCAGAAAATATTCCTACAATCATACAAAATTTAAGAGGGAACTCACAGAGAGATGATCCTTGGAGGATTGTCATTGTTGCACTGCAAACCAGTCCACGTAGAAAGTGGAAAACATGGGTCTCCTTGCCAGTCAACTCTATCTATCATGTACGCTTCCTTGATGGCCATGATTGCATCAACTATGATAATTTAGGTTAAAAAGGGTGAGAAATGCATAGCTTTAGATTTATAAGAGAAAATCGCTATATACTGGGTAAAGGCCTCTATATCAAAAAAAATATCGAGCCTGCATTTTTGTTGCAAGAGAATAATTTTTTTATGATGAATTAAAAAAAAAAAACTATCTTAGTTAGCCATTAGGCTTTACCGTTTGTATGGTGGCTATCAAACAATTATCATTTGTATGATTTTATAAGATTCCAATTGAATTTTCAGATTATATGCCAATTGGTTTGATACATAGTCTTTATAAAGTTCTTGCAAAGATTCTTTCCAATAGACTCAAACATGTTAGCCAGGATCTTATTAGTGAGAATCAAACTGCCTTTATCATTGAACGTTAGATTGTTGATGGTTTTATGATAGCCAATAAAATGATACATGATTTGCCAAGCTCGAGGGGGCAAGGTATGATCTTCAAAGTGGATTTACATAAAGCTTTTCATTCTGTATCGTGGAATTCTTTTCATTCTGTATTGTGGAATTATCTTGATGAGATTATGGGATATATGGGTTTGGGGGCTAAATGGAGAAGTTTAATATATGAATGTCTCTCTACTTCTCAATTATGAGTTCTTATTAACGGGTCTCCTGCTAGAGAGTTCAAGGTCACGCGTGGAATTCGTCAAGGTGATTCGTTATCTCCATTCTTGTTGAACATTGCAGTAGAAGGGAATTCTTCAAGCTGATTCGTTATCTCCATTCTTGTTGAACATTGCAGTAGAAGGATTAGCAATCTGTTAGGAGATCCAAACATTCAAACACACATAAATTTACGTGGTTCGGCAACTTGCCTACTCCACGGAGCTACTGGTTTGTATTAATCAAGCTCAAAAGCAATACAAACAACAAAACAAGGAGGAGGAGAAAACTTCTCAACTCAACTCAACTCTCACCCTTAGCTCTCTCTCTGTGTTTCTCTCTATCTCGTGGTCTGTCTCAGCTATCAATACATCTTCTATTTATAGCTGAGGAGGGAGATGATTGTTCAACAATGGTGGGCAAGTTAGGCACCTACCATTTGACTATAATTTCAACCATGGCTGCCACCAACCATGGCTGCCACCCAACACGCCACCAAACATGGCTGCCACCGACCATGGCTGCCACCGTCCCTGGCTGCCACCGTCCATTTGTGTCCACACACATAACAATCTCCCACTTGGACACAAATGGTGTTAGGTCTGTCTTTTAATCTTCAAGACCCACTGAAGCTTTACACAGCTTCAGTTTATCGAGAGTAACTCCTTTGGTTAACATGTCGGCTGGATTCTTGCTTCCACAGATCTTTTCAAGTAACAGTTGTTCATCGTCGAGCAATTGCCTGATGAAGTGATATTTGATCTGTATGTGCTTTGTTCTGGAGTGAAATGCTGGATTCTTGGCAAGGAAGATTGCACTCTGACTGTCACTATACAAAGTACCCTTTCCATGCATCTTGCCCAATTCTTGCAGGAAACTCTGTAGCCATACTATCTCTTTTGCGGATTCTGAAACTGCAACATATTCAGCTTCTGTCGTTGAAAGAGCAACTATCTTTTGCAAGGTAGAACTCCAAGAAACAGCAGTGCCTCCTAGAGTGTATATATAACCTGTAGTACTCTTTCTGCTATCAACATCTCCTGCTAGATCAGCATCTACAAAGCCTTCAAGTTTCAAACCGCCAGCTGTGAAAATAAGACATGTCTCCGATGAGCCTTTTAAGTACCTCATGATCCATTTCACTGCCTCCCAATACTGCTTTCCAGGATTGCTCATATATCGGCTTACAACTCCCACTGCATGGGCAATATCTGGTCTAGTACAGACCATGGCATACATCAAGGAGCCGATAGCTGAGGCGTATGGGATCTGGTCCATGTATCCACGTTCTAGCTCAGTTTTTGGTGACTGGTCTTTACTGAGCTTGAAATGATTCCCCAGAGGTGTACATACTGGCTTAGCATTATTCATACTAAACCTGCTGAGAACCTTCTTGACATACTCTGCCTGTGAAAGCTTTAGTATGCCTTTGTCTTTGTCTCTGATGATTCTCATGCCAAGTATTTGTTTAGCAGCTCCCAGATCCTTCATTTCAAACTGTTTTGACAACTGTTGCTTTAGCTTGTCAATCTCTTCCATGCTGGAACCTGCAATTAACATATCATCCACATATAGCAGTAGAATGATATAGGAGTTGTCAAAATGTTTGACATAGCAACAATGATCAGCCTGACATTTTGTGTATCCCGTACTACTCATGAAGTTATCAAACTTCTTGTACCACTGTCTTGGAGCTTGCTTCAAACCATATAGACTCTTCTTTAGTTTGCAAACTTGACTCTCCTTTCCTGGTATTGCAAACCCCTCTGGTTGTTGCATGTAAATTTCTTCCTCCAATTCTCCATGAAGAAATGCTGTTTTTACATCTAATTGTTCAAGATGTAAATTTTCTGCAGCTACTATCCCCAGAACAACTCTGATTGTTGTAAGCTTCACAACTGGAGAAAATATCTCAGAATAGTCGATCCCCTTCTTTTGCTGAAACCCTTTTACAACAAGTCTTGCTTTGAACCGTTTGCTTCCGTCATGCTCGGTCTTTACTCTGTAAACCCACTTGTTTTGCAGGGCCTTCTTTCCTTCAGGCAGTTTGGTTAACTCCCAAGTCTTGTTCTTCAGCAATGACTCCATCTCATCCTTCATGGCTAACTCCCACTTGCTCGAGTTTCCATCTTGTAAGGATTCTTCATAATTTAATGGTTCACCACCATCGGTCAGTAAGATATAATTCAGTAGAAGTGTGAACCGTTGTGGAGGCTTTATAGTCCTTGAAGACCTGCGAACAGCTGGTTCACTTGGCTCTGCACTATCTTGTGTAGAAGTGGTGGGTACTGAAGTGCTTGAACTATCTTGTGTGGACTCTTGAGTGGTAACATCAGGAAGCCCTTCTAATTGTATGAATTCAGATTTCTGTGAACTCGTATCTGAATCAGTTATCTCTAGTTCTGTACTTGATTTGTCTTTGTACAAAACTTTCTCGTTGAAGATCACGTTCCTGCTTCTGATAATCTTCCTGTTCTGATCATCCCAGAACCGAAATCCAAATTCTTCATCTCCATAGCCAATAAAGAAACATTTCTTTGATTTGGCATCCAGCTTGTTGCGAGCATCAGAGTCTACATGTATATAGGAAACACACCCAAAGACTTTTAGGTGAGCAAGCTGTACTTCTTTTCCTCTCCAGACTTCCTCGGGCAGTCTGAACTCCAAAGGTACTGATGGTCCACGGTTGATCAAGTAAACTGCAGTATGAACTGCATCAGCCCAGAATGTTTGAGGTAGCCCAGAATGCAACCTCATGCTTCTAGCTCGTTCATTGATGGTCCGATTCATCCGTTCAGCAATACCATTCTGTTGTGGTGTGCCTGGAACTGTCTTTTCCATTCTGATACCGTTGACAGCGCAATACTCCTTGAAACCTCCATCAATGTATTCTCCTCCATTATCAGATCGTAAGCATTTCAGCTTCAAACCTGATTCAGTCTCAACCATAGCCTTCCATTTCTTGAATGTGTCAAACACATCAGATTTATTTTTCAGAAAGTAGACCCATACCTTTCTGCTAAAGTCATCAATAAAAGTGACATAGTACCGAGAACCGCCAAGAGATGCTACTGGAGCTGGTCCCCATAAATCTGTGTGCACCAGTTCTAGTTTTCTTGGTCTTAAGGTCCTGCCAACCTTTAAGAAACTGAGCTTCTTCTGTTTTCCGAGAACACAGCTTTCACAAATGTCTAGATCAACATTTTTTAATTCTGGCAGCTTTCCCTTTGACTGAAGTATCTTCATCCCCTTTTGACTCATATGGCCGAGTCTACAATGCCATAGCTGCGCCTGATTTTCTGCTTCAGTAGAGGCAATTATATCTGCTGATCTTGTGGTCATATACAGGGTGCCGGTTTTCTTTCCACAAGCCAAAACCATTGCTCCCTTTGATACCTTCCACATTCCTCCAGAGAAAAGGATTGAATGGCCACTATCATCAAGTTGTCCGACCGAGATCAACTTCTTCTTTAGTTCAGGAACATGCCTTACATTTTGCAAGTTCCATGTAGATCCATTCATTGTCTTGATTTGCACATCTCCTATACCCACAATATCCAATGGTTGTCCATCGGCCAGATAGACTACCCCATAATTTCCAGCAGTGTAATTTTGCATCATTTCATGGTGTGGAGTACAGTGAAATGAAGCTCCAGAATCAAGAACCCAATCATCAATAGGACTATGTACAGCAAGGATCAAAGCATCTTGTACCTCGTTTGTAGTGGCATTTACAGAATCAGCTTCAGGTTTCTTTGGTTTTGTGCAACTCCTCATAAAATGGCCAGGTTTGCCACAATTCCAACATTCAACCTGCTTCCGGGGTCCAAACTTGCTTTTGCTTCTGTACCTGGATTTTGATCTGCCTCTGGATAAGCCTCTGTCTTGTCTCCTTCCTCGAGTGTTGATGTTGAAAGCTGAACCTGAACTTGAGCTTTCACCCGAGTCTTTTCTTCGTACTTCTTCAGCTAAAATCAGGTCTCGGATATCATCATACTTTAATTTGGATTTTCCAGCTGAGTTGCTTACGGCTGTTCTCATACCTTCCCAACTGCTTGGAAGTGAAGCTAGCAAAATAAGTGCTCGGATCTCATCATCAAACTCAATTTCAACGGATGACAATTGATTTGTGATGGTGTTGAAATTATTAAGATGCTGTGTAACAGAGGTGCTTTCTGTCATCTTCAGGTTGAACAACTTCTTCATCAAGTGCACTTTGTTATTTGCTGATGGCTTCTCATACATCCCAGACAAGGCTTCCATCAATCTTGCTGTGGATTTCTCTTTTGTAACATTATGAGCAACTCTTCTTGACAATGATAGCCGGATAATGCCCAAGACTTGTCTATCAAGTATTTGCCAATCTTCTTCTGACATG